AAGATCGATATCCTAGGTGTTGGTAAGCTGAAATGAACTGGCATAGGCCATTTTGAAATGGACAGTCATATGGTCTACTATGCGGGAATGACAAATTGAAGAGGAATGGTTTTGCATTCATCAAAAAGAACATTTCAAGATCTATCCTAAAGTATAGTGCTGTCAGTGATAGGATGATAGTCATATGCCTAAAAGGAAGACCAATTAATACTACAGTTATTCAAATTTATACACCAACCACTAAAGCCAAGGAAATTGAAGACTTTTACCAACTTCTGTGGCCTGATATTGATCAAATATGTAATCAACATGTATTAATTATTACTGGTGATTGGAATGGAAAAGTTGTAAACAAAGAAGCTTGGTAGTTGGGAAATATGGCCTTGGTGATAGAAATGATGCCAGAGACCACACGATAGAATTTTGTAAGACCAATGACTTATTCACTGCATATACCTTTTTTCAACGAAATAAACAATCACTATACATGTGGACCTCACCAGATGAAATACATAGGAATAAAATCAGCTACATTTGTGGAAAGAAGTGACGCAGAAGCTCAATATCATCAGTCAGAACAAGGCTAGAAGCCAACTGTGGAACAGACTGTCAGTTGCTCATATGCAAGTTCAAGCTGAAGCTGATAAAAATTAAAAGTAGTCCCCAAGAGCCCAAATACAACCTTGAGTGTATCCCACCTGAATTTAGAGACCATCTGAAGTACAGATTTGACGCATTGAACACTGATGACAGAAGACCAGATGAGTGGTGGGATGACATTAAGAATATCATACATGAAGAAAACAAAAGATCATTAAGACAGGAAAGGAGGAAAATACTAAAATGAATGTCAAAAGAGATTCTGAAACATGCTCTTTTATATTTGCTTTTGCTAAAGCAAATGGAAGAAATGATGAAATAAAAGAGCTGAACAGAAGATTTCAAAGGGCAGTTCTGGAAGACCAAGTAAAGTATTATAACGAAAGGTGCAAAGACCTGGAATTAGAAAAACAAAAGGGAAGAACATTCTTGACATTTCTTAAGCTTAAAGAACTGAAGAAAAAAGTAGACTTGAGTTGCAGTATTGAAGGATTCTATACATAAAATATTGAATGATGCAGGAAGCATCAAAAGAAGATGGAAGGAATACACAGAGTCACTGTACCAAAAAGAATTGGTCAGTGTTCAGCCATTTTAGGAGGTAGCATGTGATCAAGAACTGATGGTATTGAAGGAAGAAGTCCAAGATGCACTGAAAGCTTTGGCAAAAAACAAGGCTTCAAAATTTGACAGGATACCTATTGGGATGTTTCAACAAATGGATGCAGCATTGGAGGTGCTCCCTAGTTTATGCCAAGAAATTTGGAAGACAGCTACCTGGCCAACCGACTGGAAGAGATTCATTCATATCTGTGCCTATTTTAAAGAAAAGTGATCCCACAGAATGTGGAAATTCTCTAACAATAATATTAATATCCAGACTGACCAGACTCACTGCCGTCAAGTAACAATATCACATGCAAGTATGATCTTGCTGAAGATAATTCAAAAATGGTTGCAGCAGTATTTTTATGAGGATCTGCCAGAAATTCAAGCTAGATTCACTAGAGAGTGTGGAATAAGGGATATCATTGTTAATGTCAGATGGATCTTGACTAAAAGCAAAGAATACCAGAAAATGTTTGCCTGTGTTTTACTGACTATGCAAAGGTATTTGACTGTGTGGATCGTAATATATTATGTATAACATTGTGAAGAATGGGAATTCCAGAACACTTCATTGTGCTCATGAGGAACCTGTACATAGACCAAAAGGCAGTTGTTCATACAGAAAAGGGAATACCGTGTGATTCACAATCAGGAAAGGGAAACATCAGAATTGTATTCTTTCATCATACTTATTCAATCTGTATGCTGAGCAAATAATCTGAGAAGCTGGACTGTATGAAAAGAAGGCAACAGCAGGATTAGAGGAGGATTTATTAACATGCAGATGACACAACCTTGCTTGCTGAAAATGAAAGGACTTGAAGCACTTACTGATGAAGATCAGAGACTATAGACTTCAGTATGGATTGCACTTCAACATAAAAAAAAAAAAAAAAAAATCCTCATAGCTAGACCAATAAGCAATATCATGAAAAATGGAGAAAAGATTGAAGTTCAAGGACTTCATTTTACTAAGGTCCACAGTCAACACCTATGCAAGCAGCAGTCAAGAAATCAGATGACCTATTTCACTGGGCAAATTGGCTACAAAAGACCTCTTTAAAATGTTAAAGAACAAAGATGTCACTTTTTTTTTTTAACTTAGTGAAAACTAAGGTACAACTGACCCAAGCCATGGTACTTTCAGTAACCTCATATCCATGTGAAACCTGGACAATGAATAAGGAAAACCAAAGAGGATTTGATGCATTTGAATTATGTTGGTGAAGAATATTGAAAATACCATGGACTGCCAGAAGAACAAACAAATCTGTCTTGGAAGAAGAAATGTGTATGGCTAAACTTTGTCTCATGTACTTTGGTCATGTTGTCAGAAGGAAACAATCCCTGGAGAAGGATATCATGCTTGATAAAATTAGAGAGTCAATGAAAAGGGGGAAGATCCTGAATGAGATGGATTGACACAGTGGCTATGTTGATGGGCTCAAGTATAGCAAGAATTAAGAGGATGGCGCAGGACTGGGCAGTGTTTTGTTCTGTTGTACATAGGGTCACTATGAGTCAGAGCCAACTCAAGGGCACCTGACAATAACTGTATCAACAATGGCTAATGATTGTGAGCAATTCTTCATGTGTTTGTTAGTCACCTGAACGTCGTCTTTGGTGAAGGGTCTGTTCATGTCCTCTGCCCATTTTTCAATCAGATTGTTTGTCTTTTTGTTGTTGAGGTGTTGAATGTTTCTATAAACTTTAGAGATTAGTCCCTTGTCTGATGTGTTGTTGCCAAATTTTTTTTCCAGTCTAGATTCTCTTTTTATTCTTTTGACAAAGTCTTTTGATACATGTAAATATTTGAGTTCTAGAAGGTCCCAGTCTTCTTGTTTGTCTTCTGCTGTTTGTGCATTTTTAGTTATGTTTGATCTGTTAGGACCTCTAAGTTTGCCCATTTTTTCTTTGATGATCTTTATGGTTTGGGGTTTTAAGTTTAAATCTTGGATCCATCTTGAGTTAGTTTTTGTGTATGGTGTGAGATATAGATCCTGTTTCATTTTTCTGCAAATGGATATCTGGTTTTGCCAGTACCATTTGTTAAAGAGACTCTCTCTTCCCCGTTTAATGTGTTTTTGCCCTTTGTCAAAGACCAGCTAACTGTAAGTGGATGGATTTACTTTTGGGTTCTCGGTTCTGTTCCGTTGGTCTATGTGTTTATCATTGTACCAATTCCAGGCTGTTTTGACTACTATGGCTGTATAGTAAAACCTGCAGTCTTTTAAAGCATTAACATTTCTATATTGCTAAAGTGCTATTCTTCGATTCCTCCTTATTTCAAAAAATTAAGAAACAACCAGCTTGGAACATAACCCATCTCTCAGTCAGGGCCTAAACCCCAACCAAAGCAGTTGTCATCGAGTGTATGCCCCCATGTGTGTCAGAGTAGAACTGGGCTCCATGGGATTTTCAGTGGCTAAATTTTCAGAAGTAGATTGCCAGGCCTTCCTTCTGAGGTGCCTCTGGATGGACTCAAACTTCCAACCTTTTAGTTAGCCACCAAGCACATTACTGTTACACCACCCAAGATCCCCATGTCAGAGCCTCCCTACCCTTAAAAAATCAGAATAAATAGCTCAAGTTTACAAGCATATATGCAGATAAAAATCAAGAAACATTAAACAGAGATGTGCCCATAAGGGATGGAGAAAGGCACATTGTGATCAAGTTGACTTAAACCAAGATTGGATTAGTAGGGCAGTGGTTCAGGAGGGAGGGAAGAAGAGGGAAGCTAGGGGGAGCAGGGTCCCAACTTGGCAACAAGGAGTGGAATAGCCTGTGCAGTAAATTGGAAGTAGATAGAGTTTGGAAGTGGATAACTATAATATATTCATTTTATCTTTAATCATTTTGCTGCCTTGGCTCCTTTGCTCCTCCACTGCCCTGATCCTGAATGCCAGCCTTGCCTCTTCTTCTCACATATACATGCATTCAGCTCTTGCTCCATTTTTAGGCGGCAGTACAGCTGCTTGCTCAGAGCCTTTGTGATACTGGCAATAATATGTGCTGCTCTATTTTTTATCTTTTTAAAAACAGATAAGGTGGATGGGAAATGCTAATGGCAAAGGCAACTACAGCTCAGTCCACCTGCTGTTCTGCAAAGCATATTTTCTTATCAGGCTCAGGCCCAGCCCCATAGGCAGAGGCGGCAGGTTGGGGCGGCTGTGAGGACCAGCCAATCAGGCCACCTTGTATTGTGTAGTGTCCATAAACAGCAAAGTGTGTCACAGATGGATAGCATAAGTTAGTCCCCAGCCCTTGCCTTCTCTCACTTATTTCCATAGTTGTCCATAAGATCTACTGTACTGTGTGAAGTGTCACAGGCAGAAAATAAAGTTCCTTTTGTGATTCCATCCACGCTCTCTCTCAGTCCCTCTTTCTGAGCATCCTCTTCTTGTTACTCCTATGAAGCAGGCTCTCTGTTCCTTGCCCTTGGGACCCAAGTCTTGAGAAAATAAGGGACCATCTAATCAGATTGCTATATAGTTCAAGACCAGGTCTGAAAATAAGACCTTTCTGGTGAAGCTCTTAAGCACAGCTGTTTTAAATTCCAATAATGTATAATCGGTGGCTATTGAGTGGACTCTGACTCCTGGTGTCTCCACGTGTGTAGAGTAGATACTGCCCCATAGTTTTTCCAAGGCTGTGACCTTCTAGAAGCAGATCAGCAGGTCTGTCTTCTGAGGTGCTTCTGGGTGGGTTCGAACCACCAACCTTTCAGTTAGTAGCTGAACACTTAACCATTTGCACCATAATAATGTATACTTCTTACAAAATCACAGATTGCCGTATCCCTCAAATTGAAGATGCTGAAATTCATAACAAGACGTACAGACATGGAGATAAGTTAATCATCACCTGTCATGAAGGATTCAAGATCCGTTACCCTGACCTCTACAACTTGGTTTCATTGTGTCGCAATGATGGAATGTGGGATAATTTGCCCATCTGTCAAGGTAGGTCCAGAGGCTGAAGTGCTTAGCTGTTTTTCTCTCTGACTTTATTATAGACCAGGTACATGTTTCTCTAATAGAGTGATGAAGGCCATAGGGGAAAACCGAAGTCATGCACTGCACACGGACCCAGCTCTACCTTCAGGGTGATTGCCAAAGCTTTGTTCTTGGAGTGTGCATTGTCACTCCCTGTGTGCATTTAGCTCCACACACCCAGTTTTAACATGTAAAGGGGGAATACCTTCTTCTCCAGTATATCGAATGACTCCTTTACTCTAAGAAATCAAATGAAGTTTAAGAATTAGGAGACTTGCAACTGGGCTGTGAACACAGTGATGAACTGTTGTATATATGATGGAAATGCAGCATGTTTATACTTATTTCAGAAATGACAAGAATGTATTTAAAGCCAATTTTATGGAGGATATTCTCTCCAAATAATGTTATCCCTTTTTTTGTAACGTATGAAGAGTGGAAAAATAATCAAATTCAAATTTCATCCAACCTACACAGTGAGTATTTATCCTCTTGCATTTTTTAAATTTGCCTAACCCAGCACAAAGGGTCCTGTTTGTGGAAATAAGCCCTTGAGTTCACATTAATTCTGATTTTATATTTTGACTTGTGACTTGGACCAAAGGACCAAGGAGCCAATGCATAATTCATCATCCCGGAGGGAGGGAGAGCAGTGTTATTTGCACCAAGAGCACTAGCATGTTAAAGTTGAGAGGAGTGTTAACTTTATGCTTGGAAATCGCAACTGGTGGGCTGTGATGTTGCCAGCCTCAGATTTAGAAATAAATCATTTCCTTATGTGAGAGCTTAAGAGTCATAGCCCCTTGAAGAAACAGAATCCTCAGATTTAGGATGACAGAGGCAGCGCAGACCATCATACCCCCATTCAATTCTTCTCGTAAGCTTCCTGTGTTGCTTAGCATATTATATCTTCTTTAAAGGAGAGTTGTGATTTATTTACACTTTCAGAAACTGTCCGTAAAATGAGCAGCTGGCTTTTAGGTTGGGATATTTATTCAAATGAACTTTACTTACCATTGATTTGTTCCATTCCTCTGACCCTGTCAGAGTAATGGTGAAGAAAATTACCTCAGACTCGAGCCACTTCTTGCCTTCATATTTTCCACTTACCTTTTTGTTCCTCTACCTTTTCTATTTCCTTTCTATCACTTAAATGCAGTATGCTTCTTTAGGAATTCTTTTTTCCCCAATAATTTAAAAAATATATCTTTCAGTGGCATACATTTCTGGGTGTCATTGTGAGAAATTCAGATACAGGTTTTTCTGTTGTTCTGTCTGTCTGCGCTTGCCTGTCCCCTCTACCACTCCTTACTCAGCTCTCAGTCAGAAAATAGCTTATATGCTTCTATAGGAAGCAGTGGTGGTTCAGTGATAGAATTGTCACCTTCTATGCAAGAGACTCAAATTCAATTCCTGGCCAGTGCACCTCATGCACAGTGACCACCCATCTGCCAGTGAAGGCTTGGGTGTTGCTGTGATGTGAACAGGTTTCAGCAGAGCTTCCAGACTAAGATGGGCTGGGAAGAAAGGCCTGGGGATCCACCTCCAAAAAACCAGCCAATGAAAAACTCTGTGGATCACAACAGTCCAGTCTGCAACCATGCAGTCACGGAGATAGTCCAGGACTAGGCAGTCCTTTTTCATAGGCCCTGTTCAGTTGTCCATGAGGTCTCCATGAATTGGGGCCAACCCAATGGCAATTAACACCATATTTCTATAACAAAAATAAGAGTTCATTGGCTGGTCCTGAGAAGGGTGCTTCTTCAAACAATGGTACAAAACATTTCTGCTTTCATTCTCCTCAGAGCCCTGTTCCCCCAGAGGAGATGCCTGCCCTCCACCCCACCCCCTAAGCCTTGCTGCAGAGACAGGAGGGAGTTGGTGCTTGCCTGGAGCTGAGCCAGGGCAGCTGATATTTCAGCTTCCCCCCCTGCACCTGATGGCACAGCGTAGAGAATGAGGACCCACGTTGCTGTAGACAGCCCGACACCTTTCCAAGCCCCCAGGGAGAATATAATTGGCCCTTAGTGTGACATTTCATTCTGTAACTTTTATTTGCACCTATAGATCCAGGGGCTAAAGCCTGAGGAGCCTTTTCTCTATTATCTAGAAGTGCAAATAGAAATCACATTGAACTATTGAATGGAAGCCAGTTTTCTCTTGTAATATTTAGGACAGGCTGTCTCCAACCAAGAGTGAGCATTATCTTTCCTCTCCTCTGATTAACTCCATGAATAATAACCCCCTCCATCTCCTTGGGGTAAGGGTGGAGGACAATTCCATAGCTTTTTTTTTTTTTTTTTTTTAATGGGACCTTTATGTTTGAGAGCACAGTGCCCTGATGCCTCCTGCCAACTATGAGTTTGAGCTAATCTTTATTTGAGGGCAGCCAGTTTGTCAGTGTGGGTAACTTAGGACTCTATTGCCTTTGTAGGAGAAGGAGTAGGCACTCTCAGCTGTGTAGCCAATTCACGTGAACTACACATATGGTTCTAATACTTGTTCATATTCATTGGCTTTTTTTCCCCCTCAGGTTATTGATTTTATTTATTCTTGACTCTTTCCCTCTTCACACATACTTCACTTTCACTGAGAACATTGTTAGTTTTCAGCTCAGAAAATCAATAAATTAGGCCATGTTGTTGTTGTTGTTGTTATGTGCCGTCAAGTCGGACCCGACTCATAGTGACCCCTCCTTGGGTTTCCGAGGCAGTATCACCATGGAAGTAGATTGCCCCATCTTCCTTCCAAGGAGTGGCTGGTGGGTTTGAACCTCCAGCCTTCTGATTAGCAGTCAAGTGCCTTAGGCACTATGCTACCAGAGCTCCCAAATTAGGCCATGGAAGCTGTCTAAAAAGATGGCATGAGCTCTATACCTTTCTGGGTATGGCCCACTCCAAAGACCTTTCCAGGTATGGCCTCCTCCAGAGGGCTTTCTGGGTATTGTCTTTTCCATAGGCCCTGAGCATTGGCCGGTTGAGGGAAGTAGACAGCTCAGTCTGCAGAGCTCAATGGCACCAGGATACAGCAGTACAAGGTCAGCACTACAGACCCTGACAGTGAGTGCCTCCCTAAACTGCATCCTAGGTGCCTCACTCACTGCAGTCCCTTCATGATGTACCAACCAGTTGCCATTGAGTCAAATTTGACAAATGGTGACGCCACATATGTCAGACTACAACTTTACTCCATAAGGTTTTCAATAGCTGATTTTTTTTGGAAATAGACCACCAGGACTTTGTTCCAGGGCAGACCTGAACTTCCAACCATTCAGTTGGCAGCCAAATGTTAACTCTTTGCCCCACCTGGAGACTTCTGCCCTGATGTATATGCCCCATATACTGGAGTGTTTCAAAAGCATTTTGTTGACTCTCAGCAATTTACTGAGACATCTTTTCAATACATAATATTGAACAAAGTCAACTCTGGAGACGAGTTCAGTCATCTGCTACTGTGCATGAGATGTAATCTGTACTTGGTGATTGGAAGGGAAACCAGGCATATTCATTATATATTATTTACTTCACACACAATTAATTCTCCCCTGGAAGCACACCATCTCTGCAGTGTCATTATTCCCTCCAGTGAAATTGCTGAAACCAGTGGGAATTTCCATGATCACAGTGGAAGCCACACAAAATAGAATTCTGTGCTGTTGAAGATGTTCTACTGGGCTGCACAGATTTAAAGAAATAAAGCATTGGTGTTTTACAGAGAGTTCCTGGATTAATGTGCTTGGCCACTAACTAAAGTTTGGTGGGTCAAGCCCACCCACAGGTGCCTTGAAAGAAAGGCCTGCTGATCTGCTTCCCAAAAAAATCAACCAGTGAAAACCATATGGACCGTATTTCTACTCTGACACATAGGAGGTCACCATGAGTTGGAGTCTGCTTCATGGCCCCTGGTAATGTTTTATAGACGTAAGAGTTATGGGATCTGGGTTTCACTTACATCCTGATATCACACAGAGTTCTTTGCTCAATGCAAGAACTCACTGCAGCAGCAGTTCTCAAAATGCGGTCCCCAGACCAGCAGCATCAGCATCTCCTGGAATGCTGCTAGAAGTGCAAATTCTCAAGCTCTACCCCAGACCTAGGGAATTAGAGGTTCTGGGGGGTGAGCTGAACAATCTGTGTTTTAACAAGCCCTTGATGTGATTCAGGTATACACCATAGTGTGAGAACTGCTACACTACAAATTTCCCTCTATACCTATTTTACATCAAACACAGCTGGATTTTCTAGAGTTTAACTGCACCTTCGTAGGCATTCCATGGTCTTCTACAGTGGAAATGCATTTGGATCATAACCTTCCCTAGCCACTCACCACTATCATTAAAACCATTGGGATATCTCTTTCCTCTTGTGGCACCTCGGTGTTTCTCAGCCCTGACAGCACATTAGAATTATGTGGGAGTGATTCCTTTGTTTGGAGGTTTAGGGTCCTGGCTTCGTGGAACATCCCAGTTAATTGGCCGCATAATGTGTTTAGTGCTTCTGTTCTACCTCCTATCTCATTGTGTAGTGCCTGGAGTCTTAAAAGCTTACAAGAGGCCATCCAAGGCATGACAACTAGTCTCTATTCACCTGGAGCAACAGAGGAAGAAGGAGAGTCAGGAGTAGTAGGAGGATATGGAATGTGTGGCTAATTGCTTCCATGAACCACCACCACCTTGGCTATAAGACCAGAAGAACTGGGTGGTGCCCAGCTACCATTACTGAACATTTTGGGCAAATAGGCTATAGCAGAATCCTGATTAAAAGGGGGGAAAATCTAGAACAGAATCTCAAATTCTTATGAACTCCAGACTTTCTGGAGTTGTAGAGGCTTGATGAACCCCTGAAACTATTACCTTGAGATAATCTTTAAACTTTAAGCCAAAAATATTCCTGAAGTCTTCTTAAAAACCAAACCATAGTTTAGCTTAACTAGTAAAAAAAATAACTACCTTGAGCATCAAGTTCTTTTAAGAACTGTCTATATGGAATCAAAGTGACAACAGCAATTCAGAAGATTACATAGAAAGCTTAGGGAGCAGTGAGTTTATGTTAATTGGGGAGGAACAACTTAGAAAAGGAGGGTGGGACTGGTTGCACAACCTGAGGAATGTAATCAACGTCATCGAATTGTACATGTAGAAACAGTTGAATTGGTGCATATTTTGCTGTGCATATTCTCAAAAAAAGGTTTCGGGATCTATCCTGAATATAACACTGTCAGTGATAGGATACTATCTATATAACTACAAGAAAGACCAAATAATATTGACTGTTGAAAAAGAGAGAGAGCAATGCTCAGGCACTACCTAGACCTAACAAAGCAGATCTCTGGGCCTAGGGCTGGGGCACTGGTATTTTTTGAAACCTCTCTGAGTGTGTAATTAGGGCTTTCAACCACTGGGCTAGGGCCTTTCCACCTTCTTACATGCTCACCACCTTCTTTTACTACTGATCTACTTAGCTGAGTCACTTAGTGCCATTTGCAAATGTCAAAGCAAATATCTATATTATAAATAGAATAGAACATTCAGATACACATCATTAGGGAGGACTAATCATCGGAAGAGGACATTGTTCTTGGTAGAGTAGAAGCTCAGTGACAAAGAGGAAGACCCCCAGTGAGATGAATTGACCCGGTAGCTGCAATATTGCTTGAAGCATAGCAACAATTGTGAGGGTGATGCAGGACCAGGCAATGTTTCATTCTGTTGTACATAGGGTCACTGAGTGGGTGCCAACTCGATAAGACCTAACAACAACAAATAGAATAAGGAAGTCTGAGCATTTAAGACCAAAGTGCTTCATTCCCAAGTTGGTGCCATTTTTACAGCGAGAGGATCCTACGGAGTTAGAGTATTTTGTTTGTCTCTTAGGTGTACAAAGATGACAGAGTAAGATGTTTCCTAGTAAAAGATCATCACCTTTTTCTTTCCCATTTCACAGGCTGCCTGAGACCATTAGCCTCTTCTAATGGCTACGTGAACATCTCTGAGTTCCAGACCTCCTTCCCAGTAGGGACTGTGATCTCCTATCACTGCTTCCCTGGATTTAAACTAGAGGGGTCAGAGTACCTTGAGTGCTTACACAACCTTATCTGGTCATCCAGCCCACCCCGGTGCCTTGCTCTGGAAGGTAACAATCTTACTCTTTTGGAAGCTGTATTTTGGATTATTAGAGTGGATGTTTAGATAGGGGGTGAAGCACTGAAAATTATGGTGAGCAATAACTTTTGCTACCTGAGTACACTTTCCTTGTCCCCATCCAGAGCCGAGGAAGCAAACCACATCATCTGTCATGAAGCCACACTTAACAGCTAGACATAAAACTCATCTCCTATCTTTAGCTTTAAAAGGGAGGAAGGTGGATAAAAGAGAAAAGTTTCAGGCTTCAAAGGTTAAACGGCAGAATATTGCAGTTAAATGAAATGTCTTCAGAAATTAATTTTCTCTGCACCCAATGAAAACAGATTATATTACAGCATCATTAATCTTAACCCCTCCTTTTATGGTTGTGTCAATGTTTCTTCCGTATTCCATAGCGTACTTTATAGCTGAGCTTAAATGTTTTGCTGAAAATACACACAGGGAAGCCTGAAAGCAAGAGCTCTTTCCTCCCTGTTTCCGTTAAATATATGTGATAATTTTAGAGTATGGTGCACTAAAGACTACTAGTCAGTAATATGAAGTAATGAGGGGGACAGACAGTGTATGGGGGTGAAACCCATAAAAACTTCTGCTCAGAAAGGTGGACATGATTGCTCAGTCCTCCCTTTAGTTCAAGTCTTGAAATTATGACCAAAAAGCCCCAAATGCCCAAAGTGCAAACCCTATGTGCTCTTGGCATCTACATGAATATAAGACAGTGGGTGGAAGTGATCAATAAAGGTGTTATGAATTGAATCTTGTCCTCCCAGCATGTATATCCTAATCTCTGTACTGTAGATGGAATCCCACTTGGAATAGGGTTTTGTTTGTTATCTTAATGAGGCTGTATCAGTGTAAACCCAACCAACCAACCCACTAAGGAGCTCTGGTGGTCTAGTGCCTAAGACTTTTGACTGCTAACCAGAAGGCTGGTGATTCAAACCCACCAGCCACTCCTCGGAAGGAAGGTTGAACAATCTACTTCCATAGTGATACCGCCTCAGAAACCCAAGGAGGCCATATCAGTGTAGAATGTCTTAAACCTAATTCCTTTTGAGAAATTAAAAGAGCAGATTAGACACAGTGGGAAGCAAGCACAAAAAGGGGAGAGATAGATGTCACAGGGAGATCACCAAGGACGCCAGGGATGCTGGGTTTAGAGAAGCTGAGACAAATATCTTCCCTCAGAGCCTTCCCCCCAGAGCTGGTGCCCAGAACTTGGGCTTCTAGCCTCCTGACTGAGAAAGAAAATTTCTGTTCCTTAAAATCACTCACTTGTGGAGTTTCTGTTACAACAGTACTAAAAAACTAAGGCAACAGGAAAAGAAAAGATGAAAAGAAACTTCCAATCAAAAGTCTCTCAAAGCCTTGCTTGGGAAACGAAACATAAGACAATAGCATGGGGAAACAAGCACTCTCGCTAACAGCTTTTCTACAGAGTGTACCTCAGTGTGGGGGGGAAGTCAAGTTAGGAGATGGGCTGTGGAGTGTGACTGGCCGGAGAATCAGAGGGAAAGCAGCTCTTAAAGGAAGTGATGGAACTTGGAGCAGGATTAGCTGAAGCTAAGTGGGAGCCAAAGAGCCTCTTGGGAGGCAAGTGGGTGAAGAAGAGAAAGAGGAAAGCCTGTTGCATGAAGTTATGAGAAAGCCAGGCCGGGGTCATTAGTTTGCCATACTCCTAGGCTGCTAGTTAGAGCCCCTACCCACGCACCCCCACTTCTGACCCATCCCAGATTCCCTAGGGGATCAGAGCCTAGAGTAAAGTGGCCAGATAAATTTACAGGACACCCAGTTAGATTTGTATTTGTTGAAAGCAGCAAATTGTTTGATATGAACATGTCCCCAATATTTTGTGGGCATTTCTTATAGTAAAGTATCACTCATTGTTTATCAGAAATTCACCTGTATCTGGGCATCCTATGTTTTTATGTGCTAAATCTGGCCACCCTAACCTGTACGGATAAGACTGTCTCCTTGGTTTCCATTGTGAACAGCTTTTTCTGCTTTCTGGACACCCCTGGTAGGCTGATGTGAGGGTGGGCAGCAGATGAAAGGGGGCTCTTTTCTGGATCCTGGTGGGCTTTCCCTGCTTGGATAACCAGAAATGAAGGATAGTTGGAAGATATTATTATGATTGCATCCATTTGAAGTGCATATTTTAAAATTTGGTTTAAATGGGTTTCAAGGAGTTGTGTTCTGATAGGTTTCATTTGGGGATTTTGAAAGCAGTTTTTATTGTACCTAGAGAATATGATATAAATAGGCATAAAATGAAATCAGGCTTCAAGGGGCAACAATCTAAGGTTATGAGCAAGGAGCTGTGACTGAGAAGGTGCTAAGAATCTAGTATCTTAGTCTGGGTTCTCCAGAGGAGCAAAACCAGTAAGGGGTGTGTGTGTGTGTGTGTGTGTGTGTGTGTGCAGAGTGGGAGAGAACACAGGAGCACTTGATTTACTTCATGGAAATGGCACACACAACTATAGGAGCTGGATTGCAGGGGCTGGTGAACCCAAAGTCTGCAGGTCAGGCAGCAGGCCAGAGACTTCAGCAGGCTTACATGTCAGGAACCGGAGGTCAGCGGAGTTGAGAGCAAGCAAGCTCTGCAAGAACATCCGTTTGTATCCGAAGGCAGTCAATACCCCCAAGGAAACTCCACTTTCAGCTGATTGACTGATCACCTCAGATCACATCAGAGACAGGGATTATCTTATGGAAGAGCAATCAGTCAAACCAAACCAAATCACTCAGAATTATAGCCAAGCCAAGTTCACACTAAAATTAGCCATCACACTCAGGGTGAGATCTATATGTGCCAGGAAGGCCACTTAATGCCTTTTTTTCCTCTTTTTTTTTTTTAACCTTTAAATTTTTGTTTTCAGTACACATTCCTTTAAATTCTCTGATGACATTAGTTTGTGAGCCCTTTAAACGTTGTTGTTGTTGTTGTTGTTGTTGTTATGTGCCGTAGGTGTGTATGTTATGAGTCACACCCGACTCATAGCGACCCCTCCTTGGGTTTCCAAGGCAGTATCACTATGGAGGTAGATTGCCCAACCTTCCTTCCTTTAAACATTGGTTAAAGGTATAAGAGTCTTGAGAAATGCACAGCAGATGAAAAGATTATTTTTTCTCAAGACTTGATGGAGACTGGTTAAATTAAGCAATGGTTTATAAGAGGTAAGGGTTCATGAAAACATTATCCAGTTGTACCTATGTATTGGTATTTCTTTAACTCTTACTTTAATTGCGTATCATTATTATCATTATTTATGTCTTATTTATGGAGTTACTGGGTGGTAACAGTGTCTTATTTATGGAGTTAACATGCTCAGCTGCCAACCGAAAGGTTGGAAGTTTAAGTCCACCCAGAGGCACCTCAGAAGAAAGGCCTGCAGCCCTATTTCTTAAAAACCAGTCATTGAAAACTCTGTGGAGTGCAGTTCTGGTGACATGTGGGGTCACCAGGAGTCAGAATTGACTCGATAGCATCGGGTTTGATGTTTTTTGCCCATATTTATGCAATATCGACATAGAGTATTCAACATAAGCGAACTGTACAGAATGAATATACTTCTTTAATATTTCACCCATGCTTTTTCCTTTGGAAACCCTGGTGGTATAGTGCCTAAGGCACTTGACTGCTAATGAGAAGGCTGGAAGTTCAAACCCACCAGCCACTCCTCTGAAGGAAGTTTGAGCAATCTACTTCCATAGAGATACTGCCTCAAATACCCAAGGAAAGTTTCCTAGGAGTCGGATCCTACTCCACAGCAGTGAGTTTGGTTTGTTTGTTTTTTTCCCTTATATTCCTGTCTTTGTTGATGGTATGATAAAAATTATTGTAGTGAGCTATAGAATAATGATATTTTTGGCTTTTTTACAATACAGTCAGGCTCTTTGACCCCTAAAGTGAGTGGATCTAGCCAACTCCTTGTGGAAACCTTTCACTAGGAGCTTTTGTCCCTTTTCCTTCCCTTTCTCTTTGTTAATATGCCAGCTCTCAGTGTATTTGTCACTTTCAATACACCTGCCACAAAGCTCTCCCCACCTCTTTTTCTAACCTGCTGTAAGGCCAGGGATCACCAAGATGATGATGGGGCCAATGTAGTATGTTGATTAAAAATGTGGACTTGACATCACAAGACTGATTCACATCCTGGGTTTTCTACTTGCTAATTTTGACCTGAGGCAAGTAATTATCTGTGAGCCTCCACTTCCTCATTTGTAAAATGGGGATGATGCTTATACTTACCTTGTGGTATTATGAGGTTTCAGTATGATAACAAATGTAATGCATTTCATGAAGTGTCTGGCACATAGTAAGTGGTCAGTCAAGTGCTTTTTGCTATCATTACTCATAGAATTGTGTATAAAGTTACACCAAATCAATGAGGAGGTTGTGAGGGTGATCCTCTATGAATAAAGTGCCCAAGCTTTTATGCATATACACTATGACACTATTTTGGTTGTTCAGATGCTATTGTGATTAAACTTACACCTTCTTAACTGTCTTCCTATAAGTGAATCTCAGATAATGAAGGGAATTCACTGGACAGTAATAATTGTTATTGTTGTTAGTTGCTGTTGAGTTGATTTCAACTCATCGCAACCCCATGTGTGCAGAGAAGAACTGTATTTTGTAGGGTTTTCAGAGCTGTGACCTTTGGGAAACAGATTGCCAGGCCTAAGTCACCTCTGCGTGGTTTTGAACCATCAACGTTTCCACTGTCAGTTGAATACTTAGTACCACCCAGAGACTTGACAGTTGCTGTGACTTTTGAGAGCTTACTGCAAGTCAAGCTCTTGACCAAAATGCTTGACACAGTGTCTCATTTAGTCTTCATAACACCCCTATGAGGCAAATACTTTTATTAACCCCATTTTACTGACAAGCAAACCTAGGCTTATAAGGTGAAGTAACTTGTTTAAAGTCACACAACTAATGAGTGAAGGAGCTGGAACGCCAACATGGGTCTTTGTCACTTCAGT